TGGGTGTGCGCGTGTGGGTATGGGTGTAGGCGTAGGAGTTGTTCTTTTCTTCATACAATACCCACACCCACACCCACACTCTCAAAATTGACCTTTTAAGGCGAACGGTCCTCTAAAATCTCTTATGCGACTAGTTGTTTTGATTTTTCTTTGAGATTTTTTCGCGAACACTTTCGGCGTATTTGCTGATTGTTGTTGCTTGCCATTCTTTACTATAGAATGATGACGGATAAATGTACAAAATAAAGGTGACCATTGGCGGAATAAAAGAGATGAGGTACGAACTAATTAGAAGATAACGTAATGGATTATCTTCTATATTATGACACTCTAGCGAAAATGCAGTGATAAAGAGTGGCAATGAAAATAGAGAAAATATCGATGGAATAACTGCTATAATAGGTCGTGCAATTATTTCTTTATTTTCGTTTAAAATATCTCGCAAAAGATTTCGACCAGTATGAATGTTACTTTGATTGGCTAAAAAAGAAGGAAAGCTTTGTATTGAAAAGCAAACATAGAAGAACTTACTTTGACGTCGTGTACGAATCTTCATCTTTGTCTTTATCACGATTATTATGAGTATACCTGTGCTGCAAATGTTGATCAGCAATGGTAGGAAAAAATATGTAATAAAGACAAGCTGATGGATCGACATCCACATTGATCGAGAACTAATAGGGAACTCAATGATACACGTGGTCTTATGCATGTCTTCGACGCTCGTGAACGATTTGGTAAATACCGGTTCATATGCAGAGGAGATAAAGACTATGCAAAATGTCACTGCTATGATACGAACGGCAATCTTTGGTCTTCTTAGCCATTGGTGATTGATGCATACAACTGTGTAAACACGTTCGAGTGCAACAAATGAATTATACCAAGATGCAATACGAATGAAACCAGTTAAAAGAGAATTGAGAAATTTACAAAGCAGATGGTTCACAGTTGTAGGAAATTGAAATATCGAAGCAATCAGAGTAAGGTGAGTGCAACGAGCAATGAGAAGACCCAGAATGGTCTGATTGACCACGCTTAAGCAGAGCAAGTAGTGACCGGTGCCATTTTGTAAACACAGTCGTCGACGGAAAGTCACAAATGAAAATACATTATTTGGAAGGCCAAACAAAAACCCAACGATAGGAAAGATGATCAATAAAAACATCACTATATGTTTACGAGAGTTAGTCAGATCAGTGATAAGAAGTTGATCAAGAGTGAGTGTAAAGGATTTAGAACTAAATTGACATTGTTTACCTGAATAACATGGTGGACAAATGCAGAGAAAGCTTGGTAAATGTTTCGAGTTATCTTTTAAACATCGACCACCAGAGAGACAAAGAGCACATTGATCAAGTTGGTAATTATAAAGAAAACATTCTACTCGATTATGATTGTCTGCACAAATACATAGATAAATATCGTCTTGAAAACACAGCAAATCAGATTTGTTTCTGCAGATATAGTGATATTGTATGGGAGAAGAATCTAAAGTAGAAGTTACATCAGGCATTTATGAAGTGTGTCTAGGAACAAGGATTACCGTTGCGTATTTCAGTAATATGCTTGCATTGATTGCTTTCGGACAATTCGTTTTTTGTGTCGAAAGCGTTTACATTGACAGATAGTAACAGAAGATAGATAGCTGGTGAAATGTCATCGTAAGAAGAATAAGTTTTAGCTAAGATGATTGTAGGCACTGTTTCTTGATCATGGTAATATTCGATTGATGAAGGAAGCGTTTTATAGACTCGTTGATGAGCAAGATTAAGATCGAGGGAAATGAAATCAATGCCAAAGAATTGAATCACTGCACCAGTGTATTCATGATTTTCTTTTATAGATAAATGCGTACGACGTTTCTTCAATTCACATTTTTCTCCGTAATATTCTTTCTTACAGGAACATGTAAACTGATCAAGTTTCAAAGAAGGAAAGCAGGATCCACCATTTAAGCATGGATTTAATTGACAAAGGTCATGTTCTATATCGCATCGATCACCGTATTGACCAAACGAACAGATACATAGTGGTAATGTATTTCCTCGAAGCAGAAGATGATAATTAGGCTTGCAGAGTGATCCTGGTGCACAGTAGCCTGACGCACAACGGTCATCCTCGACTGAACAACGTTCTCCAGTGAAATTATCGTTACACAAACAGACATATTGCGATTTATTGTTCATCAGCGGATAGCATTGTTGATTTGAGTGACATGGATTACTTAAACAAGGGTTTTGTTGTTTATTGAGTTTAATTAAACGAAGAACTTTTGCAAGACTATAAACAGGAAGATAATCGAAATATATCGGATATTTCCAAACAGCGATCAGCACAGGTTTTTGCATATCATGAAGTAGATAAGTTTCAATTTGGATGGAATATGGCTGAACATTGAGAATCTGTGAGCGAGTGAAGTATCGATCGTTTCGTTGTTCACGTAAATCTGATGAATGTGAGTAGAGAAAATGAACTACATGCTTCTCGTAACTGCTAGTGTTGAATGTTGGGCGAACGTGAAATTCATGTTTCATTAGAGTTTGGTTATTGTAGAAAAAGAGAACAAGAAGTTTCAAAACAATATTCTGATTAGTGTCGATGGTGAAGCTTGACTGAGACATATCCAAATGAAAAGTTACTAATAATCGATCATTATGGTATTCACATTTATCACCATAATATTGTGGTGGACAGAAGCAAATAATCGATTTATTGTTCAATAAAACGCCGAGACCTCGATTACACCAATAGGGCAACAATGGTGATAACAATGAAGTATCGACGAATGGAACATTTCGACTCGTTGTTGTTGTATAGCTTGTATTGGCACTGAGAATATTTGTAGAATCATTAACACGTAGCTGAGGCAACTGAAAAGTACGTGGTACCGCTCTTGCAAAGAGCATTTTTTGTTGACGATAAGAAGTGACCTTTTGCATAGAGGAACTCGAATAATCACACATGTATTCATCTTCGGCAAATGGACAAAAGTAATGCCCGTCGCATCGCCCACCGAATGCACACGTATTATCCAAACAGCGGAAATCCTTCTCACCCCGACAATAACCAAAGGATGGAAAATTACGATAACACCAGTAACTATCATCTGTTAAATTCGGACATCTGATGCCTTTGTGACAATGATAATAATAGGGAATGCAAGTGTTAGTAGATGGACATCTGAAATGGTATCCAAGTACGGAAGATTGGTCACAATGAGCAAGTTTGTTGCGTTCATCGATCGCTCCTGCACAATCGATTTTACCGTCTCCAAGTTGGCTGTAATGGATACAATAGAAATGTAGACTTGATGCGCCTGGGGATAGGCATAAAAACGATCCTGTCTGGTTGCAAGTATTAGAAAGAAAGTTAGAGTTTTTGACAAAACTATAATTTCTTGGTGTTTTTGATCGAACCCATTCAACATATGAATCAAACAATAGCAGTTCATCTTCAGCATCTGGACAATCCCATTCATTATCATTAGCCCACTGTGAATAGATGCAATATCCCGTTCGACACTGCTGTTGATCTGGAGGACAAACCCACCATTGTCGACATTCTTTCATATTCTCGTCGTCTCCTGAATCGAGGTCTAAAAACGTATCACAATAAGAACGGAAAGGTATACCAGCTCTTGCAAGTATCTGCTTGTCGATTAAGTTCCATGATTGATCAATGTATTGACGTAGCAAAGCACAATCATCTTTTCGTAATTGATTACAATTCATCTCAGATAATTTTCGACCTGTCCCCAACCATGATTCATCAAAACCATTATCACAGTTTAGTCTATCGTCTCCTAATACCGTAATACTCAAACAAGTCGGCTGACTGATTGAACATTGAAAGCGATGCCGGCGAACACGAGAACAACTGTTTGCAACATCGATCCCAGTGTGAGCACTTTCATCTTTTCGGTTAAGACAATTGATCGATCCATCGTTGATTCGAGTGACGGACATGCATGGGTTCCATTCACCACACACATTGGTCGATTCATTGTGATGGTGGCAATGCGTAACAAATGTGATATTCTCTAATAAAGAAGTGTTTATGACTTGGTGACAAAATAAATCTTGTATTATTTCACGCAAAGTGCGATCGTGTGATGATATAACCCTATCAACAACAGAGACTAACGAATTTTGGCATTTCACGCTTCCGTTGATTACCATCGTCTTTATCAAAGTATCAAATGATAGTCGTTTATAAGGTTTGAAAGAAAGGAAAATGAATGGTGCTAATATTGCATTTTGCGGATAGATAATCCTTCGGTCTGAACATCGTCGATAGAGATCTGCCTCGCAGTTACCGTTACTCAAGCATCGGCACTTTTCCTCTCCACCCGAAGATAGAGCACATCTCAGTAAATATCTGCAATGCTCATCCAGAGTGACATTGTCTACTATGGCTGTTTTATACTTGCTGCCTTCATGACATCGTCCGTTCGGCATAGTCCAAGATAACTGGATTATGTGCGTTTCGCATATTGAGTATTGATCACGACGATTATAACAAGTGGTGTAGCCTTTTCGTTTCTGAAACGCCCGTCGATCGTGAATACATTGCCCATCGCCACATGACCATTCGTTTGCCAGACAGTTGTGATCATCACACTGTATGGTAGCTGATTCTGTAGCACAAGTCTCGCTCCTCTTGTATTGAATTTCATCACTCCAATCCAAACAGTCAAATTCTCCATCAAGAAAATAAGGGTCAGGAATACACATACCATTCATACATCTGTATTCATCAGCATCACATATATTCATTTCCAGTAAATCACAATTTTCTTCATCATATCCATACATACACTGTTGAATGCCGTCACATATCTCCCGCCAATCAAGGCACAGCTGTCCGTAATTACATGTCAGTGTACTATAACAAATAATATCACCATAGATCTGTATTTTGCTTGGGTTTTCGTTTCTCATCATTAGTTGCCATTCAAATGTCTGTTGAAGAGTGCCATCTATGGGTAATCGATATTCACAACTTTTTCCGAACGATAACGGTTCAATGCATTGACAAAGATATCCGTCTGTTTCAAATGATTTCATTAGATAACGCGAATAAGCTTCGACGCGTTCGATACCTGACTTCCACTGATGTAAGATTGTAGTAACTTTTATGTTGTTGGCAAGAAGTTCACTGAAGGGGTGAAATATCCCACCATTCTGCTGACAAGACTTGGTATCATGGTTGCGACTAAGATTAATTGACTGCATTGGACGACGACAATAGTAGAGATGTTGGAAAAAGACACAATCATAGTATTCTATGGAGAGTCCATCTTCTGTGTGATATAGATAAACTTCGTTTCTGACCAACATCAAGACAGTGAAAAATTTTAATACTCTGTAGGTTACGAACATATTGCGTTATATGACAATTTCAGTTAAATGAAGAATCCTTTTTTGATATGGAAATACACTTTAACCATACTCATGATACAGCAGCCTCATTGTGACATTTTGAACGCGTTCAGTAAATTTGTTTGAATTTAAACGCACGTGATACCTTCGACAATCGACGATTGTGACGCTCTCTTTATTCACTAAACTCTATTAACAAATTGACTGTCACACACAATCAGTCTCACCCTGGCGAGGTAATCTCTCGTCGCCAATTACACTGTAAAATTATGACTTAACTACTATCTATACATATGACGTGCCGAAGTTATAATTTCGACGGAAGTTATTGTCGAAGTTACTTTGAATGATATAATGAATTGCAGTTTATAAAAAAAATCGTCAAAATTGTTATGCATTGCTACAAACTTCTCATAGCCTGTGTCGTACCAAATGGATGACAGGTACAAGGTGTTCGTCCATAAAAAATATCTAGGCAAATGGGCATAACATCACGGTGTGGGTGCGGGTGTGTGGGTGTGGGTGGGGGTGTGGGGGGGGGGGTGGGGGTGGGTGGGGGTGGGGGTGGGGGGGGGGGGGGG